ACACACACACACGCACACTGTCCAGTATGTGGTGGAGTGGGTGGTCGTGGTTATACAGCTGGTACAAGTTAATCTTTTAGAGCAGCACAATAAGGCCAAAACATAATATGAGCACAAACTTGAGATAAAACTGTCAGGCACAAGATTATACAAACTTTCAGGCCTCACACCACAACTCCACTACACACAACACTACAGGTAAAGAAGCGAATTATGAAATGGCAATTCAGTTTGATTATCAGGCTCAAGACTAAAGTTATTCTGCTGTTGTCACAGAATATATTTGTATTCATTCCAGTTCTAATAATCCATTATTATTCATTTGTAGAAGAACACGTCCTGTACGTCCCACTGTCTTTCCCACTGTGTCCCACCAGATGTCAGCACATTACACTTCCTCTATCTGCAGCACACACTTTGATACAGGCCTACACAACATCTGATTATTTTCTACAGTGTTCTTATTTCTAAATTTCAGTTGTACGCATGTATGCACTTCTTGGTCAGTGGAATAAACTTCATTACTATAACTTATTTATCTATTTTTGCCCAATTACGAGGAGAAAACATAAGATAATAAGAATATAACAAGGCCTTTTGCCATTTTAGGTCTAGCTTTTCCACTTAAAAACACCACATTAACTTTACTGGAACTTTGTTTGAAGCAGTAGCATGTATATCGTGATGAATCCGTGCTGCACAGACATGGATCAGGTTAGTAAACAGTGAGGAAGGTGACTGCAAAGTTTTGGGTGGAAGTTGGAGGAGGATCCGTGGAATCACAACAACAGATCTACAGACGCTCTGCGCACACACGCGTCAGCCACACAGTGTTTGTAGATCAGTGGAGCGCTTGTTTTCTTCACCCCGACGTCCTCCTACAAACATTTGCACGTCGCTCGACCCCCCTGCTCCCGTGTCCTCTGCATGGACTTCAGGTTTCTAACTCACCATGGCCTCAGTCCTCTCGTAGCCGCCGCGGGCTGTGTTCGCTCCCATGGCCGGAGCTGGCTGCAAGTGTCCCGTCTCCCTGGCCGTGTTCAAGCGCTCTCTGTCGGTGGCGCCGCGCGGCTGCGGTGGGTCCGCTCCACGGTCGCTGCTGCCGGGCTGGAGGCTCGGGGAGCGAGGCCTGCAGGAGGCCGCCCGCCCCTCCAGCGCCATGAGAGCCGCCAGCTTTTACCGACACACCGCCTTCTTCTGTTTCTCCTGCCAGGAGTCCATGAGGGAGAGTCTGAGGACCTGCTACCTGTACCTGAACCAAACCAGCCGGAGCTTCGCGGCCGTGATTCAGGCGCTGGACGGGGAGCTGAGGTGGGTAAACAGGGGCTTAGTCCAGGTGAGGAGCGGGAGGGGTGTGTCTCCAGGCATGTTGTCCTCAAGTGCACAGGCTGCAGCACCTTCCTGTGCAAAACACATGTAGAGAAGACAATTTATATACAGTGGAAACTACTATCAGCTGCAGACTTCCTTGAATTCAATCCATTTGTTGTATATATTTACATTTGTCCTGGTATAACCTCAGAAACAGTCCATAACTGATGGTATTTCCTGTGGAGGATTTCCATGCATGCTCCCTAGAGTGATTCAACAATGGCCTTAACTCTCACACATTTTGTAGAAAGATATGTTATCAGTTTGACCACAGGCTGCAGTGTCAGATGTCCTAAATGCTCTGCAGGTCAGTTTTTTTTAAGGACTTGAACATTATTTGAATGACAACACATCAAATGCACATCAGCAGTTTCAAATTCACTCTGTTAGTTTGCTTGTTGCTGCAGGATAAGATCTGATCTCTGATGATCGTCTTGCAAAGCACCCGATCATCTACGGAGATGTGTTTACGTGCTATGTCACAAGCATTTTTTCACTTGTGTTCAAACTGTGTCTTTGCGTCGTTTAATTTAGTCTATAAAATTAACATTTATGCAGCAATGTTTTCAAAAAGCTTAATTTGATCTCCCACATTCAACAATTTATAGTGAAACAGAAAATATTTGCTTTTTGTAGCAGTTTTGCTTGATCGATAACTTAAATGATTCAGGAAGGATTCAGGTGCTGTGTAACAGGTTTTAAAAGAAAAGCTTTTGCAGATTGATGCTTCATTTATCTACTATAAAGCTGCTTTCAGACATGCACTGAAGTCTGGATTCAAGGGCTTTTGGCGATAAGGGCCAACACCAGTGTTGGTCCTAAACACAAACGCATTATTCCTGCAGCAGAATTTATACATCATGTCCGGCCTCCTGCATGCAGTAACACAAAGACATTAATAACAGATTACGTTTAAATCCTCCTTGTAACCTGCCACGGGAAACAGATAACTGCTGCTGCTGTTTCTAATTTAAGCTCAGTCTACAGGTCAGAACTGTCAGTAAAGAAATGACAGCTGTTTGTAAACACACATCTTTAGTGTGTGTGTGTGTGTGTGTACTTTATATATCCTCGTTCAAACCTGATCTGCTTTGACCCCAGAGTCATGTATGTTATTTTGGTCATTTAGTAAATCAGTGATGAGGCAGTTTTTCAGCCAGCTCCCACACACAACTCCACGCTGACTCATTGTCCTCTCTCTACCATCCAGACATGCAGTTTGTATTTTCTACTTGGTGCTGCGAGCGCTGGACACAGTGGAAGATGACATGAGCATCCCCCTGGACAAGAAAGTCCCCATGCTGAATGATTTCCACACCTTCCTGTACCAGGACGACTGGTGCTTCACTGAGAGCCAGGAGAAAGATCGGCAGGTCCTGGAGGATTTCCCCACGGTCAGTGGTTCTGCATGGTCGCACATAGCAGGGTAGGGGCAGGTGCATCAGGATCTCAAGGTTTTTTTAAAAACTAAAATCTTCTTGTGTCCTTTCAATCCAGATATCACTGGAATTCAGAAACCTTGCTCAGGAATACAGAGATGTCATTTCAGATATCTGTCACCGTATGGGAGTGGGAATGGCCGAATTCCTGGAGAAGAAAGTGGGATCTATGAAGGAGTGGGACCAGGTGAGTGTGAGACTTGTGTCACTGTATATGAGGAGAATAACAATAGCTATGATAATTACAATGGCACTGAGAAGAGCCCATATTTAATTAAAATCCACGAATTATAGATGTTATGAGTTTAATTAACCAAAATATGAATTGCTTTTTTGCCATATATGATGATTTTATGCTTTCAAACTTGCATTAATATCAGTTTGCAGCTTCATTCTGCATTAATAATATTCTCACACACCTCACACATGTCTCTGACAGTTTGTTTGTTGTGCATGATACAACTGTAGAACTGTTTTTTCCTCTGTGCAGTATTGCCACTATGTGGCCGGGCTGGTCGGCATTGGCCTGTCTCAGCTCTTCTCTGCGTCTCAGCTGGAGGACCCTGAGGTGGGGCGGGACATCGAGCTGGCCAACTCCATGGGCCTGTTTCTCCAGAAGACCAACATCATCCGTGACTATCTGGAGGACACGCAAGTGGGACGTGCCTTCTGGCCACAAGAGGTAGGAGCCGGTTCTTTAGTCTGATATGAGAGTTTGTCTGTGTGACCTGAGCCCACAGTTATCCAGAGTAATACGAGAAAGAAAAAGAATAACTATTATCAAAGTGACATATATTCCTTGAAAAACAAATACATTGACCATGTGATGCGTCCTTGTGTCCCTTTGCAGGCTTGGAGTCAGTTTGCAGGTCGTCTTGAGGACCTAGCCCAGCCGGACAAGCTGGAGTCGGCTCTGTCGTGTCTCAACCTGCTGGTCACTGATGCTCTGCGACACGTCCCGGATGTCATCGCCTACCTGTCGCGGCTGCGCAACCAGAGCGTCTTCAATTTCTGTGCTATTCCACAGGTATTGACTGATATGTCACTCAAAGATTGTTTTGTGCTTTTAGCTCTCAACGCGTCCATCTGCCAACAAACACTCAATCAGTTCATCTGTGAAACTTTGCCAAGATGGACTTTAAGATCATCCTGCTTCCTCTGTCCAACCAGTGGAACCGAAAGACAATCATGTCAAACTGAGAAATTTTAACATCTGAGAAAACAAAACCAGCAAGTGTCAAATGTCAAAACAAATTTAGCACATTAGTTGATTTCTTCCCCTTGTCTATGGGTAATTCCTCTGTTGACCAGGTGATGGCGATAGCTACATTATCAAAGTGCTACAACAACCCCATGGTGTTCCAGGGAGTAGTAAAGATCAGGAAGGGACAGGCTGTCACCCTCATGATGGAGGCCACCAACATGAGAGCTGTGCACACTATCATCAGCCAGTACAGCCAGGAGGTGGGTGTGTTGTCATTGCTGTATCCTCTGCTAACATTTCATTTCAACACACTTTAACACGATTTTCATATTCGCTCTCTTCTCTCTGCAGATTTTACAGAAGGTCTCCCTCACCGACCCGTCCCGGGACAAGACCCTGCACATCCTGGCTCTGATCAGAGAGAAGTCTGCGCTGTCACAGTCCACCATCCCCTCCAGGACCCACCACCTGTCGCCCATGTACCTGTCCGCCGCCATGCTGCTGGCCGCCCTCAGCTGGCAGTACCTCAGCACCACTGCTGCACAGGCGCAGGGCACCGGCAACGTACAGGGACAGTGAAACCCCTTCACCCTCACCTTCCCTGGGGGGGGGGCTACAGACTCAGAAACCCCCTCTGCCCACTCTGAAGGTCTGGCTCCGCTGTCACTCGAGGACTCTGATGCACCTCTCCCTCACTTTCTCCTCGTCAATATGGCCGACATAGGACCGTAGACTGCAGGGGGCGCTCTGGTAGCAGGCGTGTCTCATTAGGTTTGAAGGTGATTTGTCGTCGCCCTCCTGCATCTGGATTAATTATTACACACAGTGTTGTGAGGTTATATTCACCAGCATAAATGGCACATTGAAATAATTCAGGGGTGTTTTATTATCATTTCATGTTTACGCTGATCATGTGTTTCCTCTTTTTTTGATTAGTTTTAAACATTTCGACCCATTGAAATTATTGAGCATATGTAAATATGTCAAGACATCAATAATAGATATAATTTCTCTTTTGAATGAAATGTTTAAATATGCTAAACACGTCACTGCCTATTTTAGGATTAAGTGGCTGAGTCACCAACCTTCAGGTTGTTTTTTTAATAACTCTCCTATAAAATCCTATTTTTCACGTCAAATCAAAGCAATCTTAAAGGAGACCTATTCATGGTTATTACTTGAACAGGTTTACATCTTCTAATGTTCAGGAAACTTTCCTCATACTGTCCATTACTGCAGCTCCTCTTTTTAGCCTCTGTCGCTTGGTAGGAAATGTTGCTCTTGATTTACCTGGAGTTGATAGGGGGGCGTGTCAGGCTAGGTGCTAGGCGTGCATCAGGGCTGTTCGGATGAATTTTCTAAAATATAATTCAAATTTAAAAAAAAGATCTATTCTATTCAAATGCTGTAATTACTCTTAGAACGTGTATTTTTTGTTTATAAATTCGCTGACACGGCGGCCTCTGCATGTAGTCCACGTAGGGAATGTGCCTTTACTGCAGCGCCACTGCTGCACACTCACACTGGTTCCGAGACAGAGTGTGCGCAACAAAAACTGCCCATGATGTTGTCACTATCGGTGACATATTCTAGCGATACAGCAACTTTCATGAAAGGTGTACCGATATCAAAATAACAAAAACTGTTTATTTTGCTGTGAACCCCTCGTGGAGGAAATATCCTGAATTTGTAGAGGAGCAGACAGAGACACTTTGCTGTATACGTGGTATATATTAAGAATAAGCTATATATTATTAGAAAAATTCATAAAAATCTGAATGTAAGTTGAATTTAAAAAATGATAAAGTATGAAATTCGAATGGGATTATAGAGGAAGAGCCTTAGCGCGTGTTATTATGCAAATGTAAGACTATCGACGAGGTGTTTTAGGAGCTTCAGTGTTTTTGGAGGGAGAGAGGAGTTTCCTTTACCACGGACTTCCGCTTTTTAACTTTGCAGAATTTTTACAAACATAAGAAAAACACTGGAGGAAGGAAAAACTGAAAAACCATAATATGTCTTCTTTAATATTCCACTTCTGTTTCTGTAGGAGAAACTCTTTAACTGTTACAGCAGTGCACTTCTCTCATTAGCACTGTCTGTATGTGCTGCGTAGATGTGGGTAGCATCCCAACACTCTTCTGTCTCTGTTCGTTCAACTCAATGTACTTTGAAATAGGAGAAAAAAAGCAAAAAGAAGAGTGTAATTCTGAGGTGGCTTCGTCCGATGTGTACTGTTGGTGTGAATTTATTGAACAAATATAATGTCTTTGATATGCGAGAGAGAAACCTATATTGAGACTGCTATAGCTGAAGTGTCCTTAAAGCAGCTTTGGTGAGTAGAAAGGCCGGCACACAGAAACCTTGCACCGAACCAAAGGAGAGCTACAAACATTGCTATGTAATGTGAAACTTTCATTTGTATATATTTGAACAAATAAAGAGGTGAAACTATGGAAACGGCCTCAAAGCTGATTGTGCAGAAAACAAGTTTACAGCTGGTGGATTTTAGTGGACTGACCTCGATGTTATAAATTCTACACTGTAAAGTGACTTTCTTTTCTTTTACAGCAGTAGGTTAAAAGTTTAGTTGTGCTTTGATTCGTGGTTTTATGTCTGTGTATGTGTGCAGCAATAGGAAATCACACATTCAAATAAAACAATGGGCATGGATGATTTTTTTTTTTAGTTAGCAGTAATTACATTTAGTTTTTTAGAAATCATTACCATCATTGTCATATGTTGAACAGCATCTGTTAACCTTTGGAAACAGTTTGTTGGTCATGTGAGATTTAAACTGATGATGAATCCATAACTCAGACATGTGATTATATAACTGGTGGCTTGTAAAGAGGAGAGAAGTAAAAACACAGAAGAGGAGCGGTGATTTGTTCAGTGAGGAAAAGGAGCTGCCCAGAAGAAGAGCATCAGTCGAGGAAAGAAACAACACAGGTAAAAGTTGAGATGATAATTGCTGTTCAGGTAATCTTTATTTTACCATTTAAAGTTGTGTATACTTGGCTTGATGGTTTTTATTATTAACAAACATAGTTTTATGAATAAGTCATTTGACAAGGTGAATTAATTGCAACAGATTTTTGGTAGGAATCTTTCTTATTCCAATAATTAATGTTCTGTGAAATCTTCACAACACCACAGATCTCATTTCTAACCACACGTCGTAGTTGAGGGGTTGATTTTAAAATCTTGCTGACTGTCGTATGTGTCGCAGGATGCATGGACTTGTCCTCCTCTGTGTGGCGACTGTCTCTGCCTCCTGGTCTCGGCCTCACCTCGACCTCCTCTCCTCTGAGATGGTCAACTTCATTAACAAGGCCCACACCACGTGGATGGTGAGATCATCTTAAACCTCTGATCATATACTTTAGGGTACTTGCTGGTTTTCAGGTGACCTCTGCAACTATTGCAGCTGTGATGTGAAGTGGAGGAATTGCAGATTTCAATCAAAAAGAAGATTTGATGTTATTTGATGTGACTAATGGTTTTTTGCTCCAGGCCGGACAGAACTTCCATAACGCTGACATCAGCTATGTGAAGGGACTGTGTGGGACCATACTGAACGGACCCAAGCTGCCAGAGGTGTAAGTTTTAACTACACTAAACCACAGGCTGTGTGTGTGTGTGTGTGTGTGTGTGTGTGTGTGTGTGTGTGTGTGTGTGTGTGTGTGTGTGTGTGTGTGTGTGTGTGTGTGTGTGTTTGTGTAGTCTCTCACATGTCCAAACAGGACAGTGCTTCAGTGATTCGTCCCCTCTCGTTCACAGGGCTCATAATATTGAAAACTTGCAGCTTCCAGACAACTTTGACCCACGTCAGCAGTGGCCCAACTGTCCCACCCTCCGACAGATCAGAGACCAGGGCTCCTGTGGATCCTGCTGGGTGAGACTGATGGATTTTGAAAAAGGAATGGCATTTTTTAGAGTGCATACCTCCACTAAGGCCCAACAGTCGCCTTAAATCACACCAAATGTAACACACTCATAGGTATCAGTCCCCTAAATATGCCAGATTTTTCTCACAATGTTAAAGAAAAGGAAAAAAGGAAAATCCAAGACTGCTACCTTCCTCTGGATCTGTGCCAAAAATAGACAGGTTCTTTTTTGGCCTATGTCCCATCCTTCCTCTAAGGTTCTTGGAAATATTATCTGTAGTGTTTGCCAAATCCTGATAAGATACATATAATGAAAACATAACATCCTTGGCAGAGGTAACAAAGAAGAGGCCATAAAGATGCCAAGAGGAGGTCAGTTCATCTATAAAACAAGCATTCCTCCTTTTTTAATGTCTCCCAGGCCTTCGGGGCAGCCGAGGCGATGTCTGACAGGCTATGTATCCACAGCAGCGGTCAGATCTCTGTGGAGATCTCAGCTGAAGATCTGCTTTCCTGCTGTGATGAATGTGGCATGGGGTGAGTGTCTGTGGAACAAACCCAGTGTAACTATGGTCTTTTAAGAGTAACACTGAACAACGCATGTGGTGTTTTTATTGGTCGTAGCTGTTATGGTGGTTTTCCCTCTGCTGCCTGGGAATTCTGGGGGAAAAAAGGACTCGTGACAGGAGGCCTGTACGGCTCGAAAGTTGGTAAGTGTGCACAGAAAAGGGTTTACAAAGCTGCTCGGACAGACTGAACTGAGACTGATAGTTGTTATGTGTGCTAAAAGGCTGTAGGCCCTACTCCCTCGCTCCCTGTGAGCATCATGTGAATGGAACTCGTCCTCCATGTCAGGGGGAACAAGAGACTCCCAAGTGTGAGGAGATGTGCATCGATGGATACTCACCCTCCTACCCGAAAGACAAACACTTTGGTATTAACATTTAAATTGATCACATTTTTCTCCCACACTATATTTTATACAACATCCTGTTTTAATTTGAACTTTTATGAGATTCTGTTTTGTTTTTTTAGCGAGACTCACGTACAGCGTCCCCTCCCAGCAGGAGCAGATCATGACTGAGCTGTACAACAACGGGCCTGTGGAGGCAGCTTTCTCTGTGTATGCTGACTTTCTGCTGTATAAGACTGGTGAGGCTTATCCTATATATAATTTATGCACACAAACTTCTCCCTTATCAACATGTTAACATGAACCTGTATTGTGTATTGATGGTAAATCCTTTGCTTATACTTACTGAGACTTACAAGACCATCTTTGGTCATTGTAGCATTTATAAAAGTGCAGCGTGTAGAATGAATCCCCACTAGTGAGATCATCAGTAGGAATAGCTTATATTCAATTGCTGACAACAGATCCCTTTCACCTAAATCCTACACATTGGACCTTTAAGTAAATGATGTTGAAAAACGAAGGAACATCACTCCTCTGATCCTGTGATGTAAATGTTTTGCATTTTTATTGTATTTTTACAACACATAAAATGCATGTTGTGTTTTTATTACTGTAGGTGTGTATCAGCATGTGACAGGGGAAATGCTTGGTGGCCATGCCATCAAGATCCTCGGCTGGGGGGAGGAGAACGGGACGCCCTACTGGCTGGCTGCCAACTCTTGGAACAGTGACTGGGGAGACAAAGGCACGGCAAAATGTCAAATTTTCTCTGTCTCTGTCACACATCTTTCACGTGCAGAACGGGCTGATGTGAGAATATCTGGCAATGTGGTGAGAGAGAAGTTTTGGTGTCAATACATTTTTTTTTTGTCTTTTTAATTTCAGGTTTCTTCAAAATAAAGCGAGGAAATGACGAGTGTGGTATTGAGTCAGAGGTGGTGACAGGAATCCCACTGAACTAGATACAATGAGTCATGGCTGCAGAGGAAGACCTTCTTGTTCTCAATAAACAATTATATTGATCTCCAGCTTATTATATTCTATTCTTTTCACATGGGTTGCACAGTAGAGTAAGGCAATCCAAAGAGTTAGAAATAAAGGCAAGTTCAAGGAAATCTGAAAAGGCATGAGTGAGATGTTTTAAATCAGAGATGCAATGAAACATTAAAATTATCTTTAGAGTTATATCTTAGAGTTATAGCGTGTTTGAAACCAACTATAATAAAATTTATGCAAACAAAATGACTTGTAAGGGTGGCCAACCCTTTAATAGACTGGACCCATCATGATACATTAAAAAGAGAGCTCTCAGTCTGTTTCCATGTCTAGGAATCACAGAGGTGACATTATCCTCCAATCAAAAATATTTGAGATCTGTTAGGTGCAGTTAGAAAAAATGATTTTAAATCTTTTTGCAGTTTTACAAGTTTTCAAATTTTAAGTGGTGTAAGTTTAGAAATTGTTTGTCATAGACATAGGATTACAAAATCCCCAATAAGATAAGATAATATTCCCTTGTTACAGCAGCAGACAGGTCAGAATGAGGTAGACAAGAGAATA